GGAAGAAGTGGAGAAGGAGATGAGGAGAAGAGGAGGAGGGAGGAGGACAGGAGGAGGAGGGAGGAAGAAGAGAAGAAAGGAGATAAGGAGGAGGGATGAAGAGGAGGAGATGAGGAGAAGGGAGGAGGAGGAGGAGGAGGAGGAGGAGATGAGGAGGAGGTGGGAGGAAGAAGAGGAGAAAGGAGATAAGGAAGAGGGATGAAGAGGAGGAGATGAGGGAGGAGGAGGAGGGAGGAAGAAGAGAAGGAGATGAGAAGGGAGGAGGAGGAGGAGGAGGAACTGATGAAGAGGAGGAAGAAAAGACCCATCCTTTAAAATGATCAAACCAAGCTTTGCACAATCACCATGCCGACTTGGCCCCTTTGAAGGCCACGTCCAGTGGTGGGTATTCAGGAGGTTCTAACCAGTTCTGGAGAACCGCTAGCGGAAATTTTGAGTAGTTCAGAGAACCAGCAAATCCCACCTCTGACTGGACATTTTGCAGTATCCTCCTTCCCCTGACATGCCCACCAAGCCACGTCCACAGAACCTGGAGTAAAACGAATCGAATCCCACCCCTGCCCACATCAGGTCACAATGCGCTCTCTCGATCCAGGGCCACGATGACTAAGCTGCCTCTCTCACTCTTGGGCTAGAAATAGGACAGGAAAAAAGAACAACAACCTTCCAAGGACATAGCAGGAAAAAAATATACAGTATTTCAAGGACTCGCGTGGTGCGAGTGGAGAAAAGTTCTAAATATGGATCGACCCACTTGGATTCTCTGATTAGTGTTCCAGCTGCCCTTTCAGACGAGTAATCCACCTTCTCTCGGGCTGCTCAGCCCTGGTTGCGCATGAAGGACTTCTAGATTAATCGCACCAAACTTGATTGCAGGAAATGCGACTTCAGCAACCGAGTGGTCAATGCCTGGAACGCTCTACCTGACTTTCTTTGTGTTTCTTCCCCAAACCCCAAAAACTTTAACCTTAGACTGTCTACTGTTGACCTCACCCCTTTCCTAAGAGGTCTGTAGGGGGCGTGCATAAGCGCACCAATGTGCCTACTGTCCCTGTCCTATTGATTCTTTTATATCTATTTATTTATTTTTCTTATATGTATCCATGTATTCATAACTACGTTTTTACTTTTACTATCTTGCAAGCAATTGAGAAAAATGAATAAATAAGTAAAATAAAAAATAAATAGGCCTGTTAGAAGCTTTTGTGCCCACAAAGAGCGCCCCCCAACATGTGTGTTGACAAAGTGTGCAATCTCTATTCTTTGGGGGCAAAGAAAAGCTTTCACTTCCTTAGAATTAATTGCTGACAAATCTGGGTCCATTTACATATCAAAGAAAGTTAGCCGTAATCTGCCAGCGTTAACATCTAAGGGGAATTCAAATGACTGCTCTCTGTCATATGCAGGCAAGAGACTGAGGAGGTGCCCGGATGAGACCCCCTAAAATCTTTTCTGGTTGTGGGGTGCGTACCTGATAGGGATGTGGCTCTTTGTTATGGCAAAGTTCCCGTCACAAAAAGAACGCGTTGGTAAACATAGCTCATGGTTTTAAGGTGTTTGGAAAATTGAGAATATTTGCTCAGTAAGAAATATGCCATCGAAATTGGCATGGGTAGTTCACTTGGGGAAATAATCTAGAAGCGGAGAAGTCCTTGGTTGTTTTCTGGAAGACATTTCATTAGTTTACTTTATTGTCATTGCACCTCGTGTAACGAAATCAAACAC